TCTCTCTCTCTCTCTCTCTCTCTCTCTCTCTCTCTCTATCTCTCTTTTTTTCTCTCCACACACACACACACACATCTGTGTGCCTCAATATTTAAGACACACATACTTAGAATGTTTCCTCCATAGCCTTTTGTTCCTCCCTCTAAGTATAATAACATTAATATTCAAAGGCAAACTGGGAATACAAATGCGCTTATCTAAACCCTTGAGAGAATGCAAATATATTTGTAGGTAATAATGAAGCTTTACCTATAATTAAGAATAGAAGGGCAGGCATGGTGGCACATGCCTTTGATCTCAGCACTTAGAAGGCAGAGGCAGACAGATCTCTGAGAGTTCAAGGCCAGCCTGATGTACATAGTGAGACCTGGCTTAAAAAAAGCAAAAAGCAAACAAACAAAAAAGAATATACGTTTTTTTAAGCTTTTGTTTCCGTTTTAGTCAAATATACAGGGAACAGCAAGGAGTGATGCATCCCAAAAACCAAGAACACAGAAAAGTTTGTAATATATTAATCTGAGTCCCCACATTTGGTTTTTGTTGTTTTGTTTTGGTTTGGTTTGTTTGTTTTTGAGATAGATTCTTACCATGTAACCTTGGCTGGCCTGGAACTCACTCTATGGATCAAATACACTCTCAAATACAAAGAGATCAGCCTGACTCTGCCTGGGATTAGAGGTGTGAGCCACCACACCTGGATAGGATAGATTTGAAGTTAACCAGTAACTAACCCACAACGAAGACAGGCACAAAAACAAAAACAGCAGTATTTTCCATATTTCCATATCAATACTTCTGCTTTCAAAATGGAAACAGTTTATCCCCTTAATAAGAATTTCAAGGTAGACATAAAAATAGTAAGGTTATGATACAAACCTAGAAAGTGATGAAGGTTTGTTGCTGATCTTTTAACCAACTGTATTAAAGTAGCAACCAATTGAAGCCACGCCTTCCACCCACCATTTGTAATTCTCAGCTGACAGGCCAATAAATCCGGAAGCACATGAAGCATGGGATTTCAAATAGACTGCCCTGAACTCTTAAGTGTCAAGAAGACACCTGACCAGATCTACCAGATCTTCCATTTAAATTGCAAATTCCTTCAAAACTCAGGCTCCTGGGCTAACTCTGCCAGGGTTCTAGCCACCTTTGAGATGTCCTTACCAGTAGTGGAGCAGCTATACTGTGGATACTGTGTGAAAGCAATGGCCCTTTCTAGGCCATCCCTCTCCATCTCTTCAATTGCTTCTTCTGTCAAAGGATGGACGTACCGGAATCCAATATAGTATTTGTGAGGTGCTATTAGGAAGCACAAGTGGGAAGGAGAAGGTATTAATCTTTATATAGATTCCTCAGAGTCACCAACCATAATGTAATGGCCAGAATAATGAACAACTAACCCAGTTTTCTACAATGCTGATACGGTGAGCAAGTTAGGCTATTCCTGGCATCTTGTCCATGTTTTTAGTAGGCACAGGGGCACTTGGTTATTCTTTGAGATCAACAGTCCTACCCGCCTAACTTTTATTAATATGATCATCTTTAAAATGCAAGCTTTTATTATTTTTAATTTATTTATTATGTATACAATGTTGTGCCTGCATGTATGCCTGCAAGCCAGAAGAGGGCACCAGATCTCATTACAGCTGGTTGTGAGCTACCACGTGGTTGCTGGGAATTAAACTCAGGACCTCTGGAAGAGCAGTCAGTGCTCTTAACCTCTGAGCCATCTCTGCAGCCCACAAGCTTTTATTATTAATCACATGTTCTCATCGGGCATAAAGAGACTGAATAAAAGGGAGCAGTAAAAAACCCAAAGCTAGGCTGTGGTGGAGCATACCTTTAATTCCAGCACCTGGGAGTCAGAGGCAGGAAGATCTCTATGAGTTTGAGGCCAGCCTGGTCTATAGAACAAGTTCCAGGACAGGCTCAAAAGCTACACAGAGAAACCCTGTCTCAAAAAACAAACAACAAAAACCCAAAAAACCTAATACCTAGCTGGGTGAGGGGGCACGGCCTTTAATCCCAGCCCTGAGGAGGCAGATCTCTGTGAGTTTGAGGCCAGCCTGGTCTATACAGCAAGTTCTGGGACAGCCAGGGTTACACAGTGAGACTGCCTCAAATTTCTTTTTAAAATTTAGTATTTATTCTTGATATGTACTGTCTTAATTGAGAAAGTAGCATATGCATGTAACCCCCAACATTGGGAAGCAAGAGCAGGAAGCCAAGTTAGGGACAGCTGAAGCTACATAGCAAGTTCAAGGCCAGCCTGAGTTACATAGCTAGACCAAGTCTCAAACAAACAAACAAACAAACAAACAAGCAAACAAGAGCTAGAGGGTCACTGTAGAGCATGAGTCTGATCACAGTACATAGAAGCCTTAGGCAGGCTAATTGAGTATGAAGCTAGCCTGACCTACAGCACTTTGAGACCAATACAGTATAAAGTTGAGTCCTCAAAGCAGAAAAAAGAAAGAGAAACAACCAAGACTTCTGAGAATCACCCTGTTAGCCCTGTAGCCTGAAGGGAGCAGGAAACAGCAGAAATGCCTGGAAGAAACAGACAAAGACCAGCTGAGCTTCCTGGAAGAGACTCAAGTCAACTGGCAAAGATGTTCCCCAACCTATTGAAATGGCTGCTTTCTGTGCAGTGGGCTCCAGATTCCCAACTTTTGCAAGCTCTCACTAATGATACAGTAGACTTTTTAGTGATGCAGCTGTCTTTGAGACCTTTCTGTTCCTGTAAGTAACTCTTACTCATATTCCTGTAAATAACCTCAATGAAATTCACTGGTTCACCTTGGGGATATCCATGCTTTGGTCTGTCATAAGTTCCCTGTCTGGGGTAAGTAGGTGTTTGTTCATGTCTCCCAAAGAGCAGTGCCACACAAGTGGATAGTGATTTGTTGAAAGGATCATTAGTGTCAAGTTCCACTAAGGTCTAGGAGCCCAAGTACAGCTTCCAAGATCCAGAGAAACAAAAGGTAGCTCCCAAGAGAAGTGACTGTTGTCTGAGTGAAAGTGGTCAGGCAAGCTGGCTCCATGGAGGTAAGTGTAGCTTGCACATAGTCTTCATGTGTGCGGCCGTCATATGCTCAGTGCAACACAGACCTGGAGGTTGGATGGATGCATGAAGGACACACAGGTATAGGAATCCACGGTAAATGTGTAGGTGACTATGCAGGCAAATGATTAGAGCCAGCAGAGGAGGAAAGACAATTTTATGCCACATTGAGTGAATTAATGACTTGCCAGGTAAGTCACTGAGCTTAGCCCCAAAGCTATAATGAGGACTGGATATTTTAAAAAATAAATCTCCAGAGGACAGAATGTTTAATCACTAAATTAAAAAGTCACCATCCCTACAACTTCAAGTATGAAATGAGTGTATGATTCTTTTGATGGCTTATAAAAGCACAGAGGAAGTAATGTCAGAACCTGCCATGTGTAAATTCCTGTCTTTGCATTATATGGCCATACAATAAAATTACCAGACATTTGATAGTAAGTGGGAAAGTGTCCTGGGACTCCATCCAACCAACCTGGGAGACTGAGCTATAGAAAGTCTAGGCATTCAATGGCCTCCCCATAGTGACCAGAGGAGAAGGAGAAAGTGGAAAGGTGGAAAGAATTCATTGCTATCCATTTTTGTTGTTGACCAGGAGGTCCCGGATGGTATAAGAAAGCAGGCCAAACTGGGCATTGATGGCACACACCTTTAATCCCAGCACTTGGGAGGCAGAGGCAGGCAAACTCAGTGAGTTTAAGGCCAGCCTGATCTACAGAGCAAGTTCCAGGACAGCCAGGATTGTTATACAGAGAAACCCTGTCTCAAAAAAAAAAAAAGAAAAAAAAAACGGAAAGGAAAGGCAAGGAAAAGAAAGGAAAGGGAGACAGACAGACAGACAGACAGACAGACAGACAGACAGACAGACAGACAGACAGACAGACAGACAGACAGACAGACAGACAGACAGACAGACAGACAGACAGACAGACAGACAGACAGACAGACAGACAGACAGACAGACAGACAGACAGACAGACAGACAGACAGACAGACAGACAGACAGACAGACAGACAGACAGACAGACAGACAGACAGACAGACAGACAGAAGGCCAAGCAAGCCAGGAAAAACCAGGAAGGAAGCAGCACTCCTCTATGGTCTCTGCTTCAGTTCTGGCCTCCAGGTTTCTGCTTGAATTCTTGCCTTGGCTTCCCTCAGTGATGGACTGTTACAAGGAAATATAAAATGAAATAAACCCTTTCCTCTCCAAGCTGCTTCTGGTTAGTATGGTATCACAGTGCTAGAAAGCAAAGTAGGACATTCATCCTGGCCCATGCTTTAGTATTACATGAAACTATGTGTCCCACAATCAAGTGTACCTTGATGGGAATAAATGTAGCACCTGTAGCTCATTCCCACATTTATTGTCTCAGTCTATGTAGAGGTCTCATAAGTTACCAGATGTGTGCCATTAGTGTCAGGTCAATGTGGCAAAGCTGAAAGCATGGCTGAAGATTGCTCAGTGACTTATCCTTAGAGCGACAGCTAGCCACTTCTCTAAATGCTCATCTAATTACTATCCAACTAGAATAAAGGGACATTGCAACAGCCCTACCCATCTTCTGTGTGTGGTATATTGCTTCTTCTTTGCAATCTAGTTCAACTTTAAACTTCCTTTTGAAACACTTTCCAACTTTTCAGCTTATTTGTAACATTGGAAGTAATTTTAAAAGGGTCTACAGTCAAAGGACAATGTCTTGAGAACTTAGTCAATTGACCATGTATTATATATTACAGAAACTCACAAATCAATAGTTGCTAGCACCTGGACCAGGGGAATAGATAGAAAAAGTGCCTGCAGTACACACATTAAGACTGGAGTTCATAGCCCCAGTAACCACATAAAAAGCTGGCCAAGTCAGTGGCCACATGTAATCCCAGCACACAGGAGGCAGAGGTAAGAGATCCTAGAGCCAGCTGGCTAGCTTAGACTAACTGAATTGACAAACCCTGAATTAAACTGAAAGACCCTACCTCAGTATATAAAGTAGAAAGCAAAAGAGGAAGATCCCAAACATACTAACTTTGGGCCTCCATATGCACACACAGGCATGCTCCCACAGTTGCAGACATGCATACATGCAATACATCAAACACACACACACACTTTGCCAATGTAAAGAATCATCCTGCCTCTCCCTCCTGTGGGTTGGGATTACAGGAGTTCACCACCATGCTTGACTCTTAATCTCTACTTTAACAACCCTAGCACTGTAGTAATGAGAACACATACCTGTGTCAGGGGACAGCTCATCCAGCAACTTCACCATGCCTTCTCCTTGCTTGGAAGTCCACATCTTGATGGGGGATCCACCTCCAATCCTGCGATACTGTTCTTGAATTTTGGGGGTTCGGCGTTTGGCAATGAATGGTGCCAGCTTACTAAATCATTGAAAATATAAGCAAGTGGATTTTATTCCACCTTTGTAATTTGAGGTATAAAATTTAAGAAGAGCCTAACACGATCAGCCTTTAGGAACACTGCTGTGAGGTCCCTGACAACTCAACATGGATTTGAGAGTTCACCACTGCACCCCATGAGTGTAGGATCACCTCCTGCACATTCTGGGTACCTGACACTCCTGACCTGGATGCTACTAGCTACCATCCTACATGCCGACTCTGCACCTAACAAGAATTAGGAGAGGAAGCAGGGGAAGCATACTTTGGTTTCATGATGCCAGGGACTGAATCAGGGTCCTCATCCACGCTAGCCAAGGACTCTACCATTGACCCAAAGTCCCAGGACTATGTGATTTATTTTTAATTTGGAGACAGACTCTCATCCAAGATACATCAACTGCCCTGAAACTCATAATGCTGCTGAGCTTGGCTCTGGGTATTACCTCCCCAGCTTCTTGCATCACCAAGCCTAACTTACACAGGCCTCTTTTTAATTTTTGTTATGTTTATTATTTATTGTGTGTGTGTGTATGCATGCACATATGCAAATTTGCATGTGTATATACATTCTGGCACAAATGTGCTGGTCAGAAACAACTGACAGGAGTTGAGCTGGTTCTCTCCTTCTACCATGTGGGTCTCTCCACGGCACATACACAGCCACACAGATACTAAATAAATGTAAAAAGAAAATTATCATTTGGTGCTACGAATTTCGATGGATCAATGTAAAACTTAAGTTTCCAACAACAATTTCTCACACATCTATTAATATTGGTTACAATCTTAAGAAAGTAATATTAGAAAATAATATGTGGCTCTTACCATATTTCCTTTTTTAAAACAACTATGGAAGCTATTATATAATACAAAAAGAAAAAAGCTCTCAACAGTGACAGAACTGAAGTGAAGAGCTTAGAAAGCATAGTATCAAACAGGCCTCGGGTTAAATTCCAAAATTCTTGGGCATCAAAACCTCACTCTTGGACTGGAAAGATGACTTAGCAGTTAAGACCATGTACTGCTCTAGCAGAGGACTCAAGTTCTGTTCCCAACACCCATTTGTATAATGACCTGGGGAAGAATATATACAAGTGTATATACACTCACATATGCATGCATTGTTTCAAATAGAACAGCACTTATATCTGGTTAACTGGTGCTGGAATTTAAGGCGATAAGGATATTTGCTTTTTAGTGCAAATATAATATTTGCATTGCAGTCATATACATGTATTAATTTTTCACTGCAAAACTTCTTTTGAAAGAAAACTAGAGAAAAGGGCTAGGGAAATAAGAATAAAAGGAAGAGGCGAGAAGCCACAACACACCCTTAAGCATAGGGAGTTACAAGCTGAGTTAATCAGCAGGTCAAGCACAAACACATCTCTAAAAGTCTTGAAAACGTTAAAGTTACCTCATCTGTGCTTAGACAACTGTAACTCCCAGGGCTCTGGGGAGGAGAGGACTCAAGGAGAACGCTCATTAACTGACTCTCCCCACAAGTCCTCACACACCACTTCCTTCTCCTTTCAACAGAAGACAGAGTGTTGCCATGAGTATGACCAGGTCTACTTCTATTTACACAGTATATCTTACTTTTGAATGGGAAGTGTCATGAGGTCTCGGTCCAAGAAGAGTCTTTGAAGGAAGTCTTGAACTTCTCCAAGGGTTTCAGGGCCCCCCATGTTTAACATTAATATGCCGGTTTTTGGTTTCCTACACAAGAAAACAAACAAACAAACAGTTTATTGGCCACAGTTTTGTTTTCTCCAGGGCAGATATTACTTCAGCTGATAACAACCCACAGGCCCTTTGCTGCCATCACAGGGCTGTCTCTTTAGAGACACAGAGGGCCTCCACTTCTTCAGTGACCTGCCTTAGACTCTGACCCTTGTCTCTAAGCTCCAGCCCAGAAGTTGGCATTAACTGAACTCAAAACTTCACTATTATCCTGTCAGTATTGAATAAAGACCCAATTCTTCAGAGACACAGAGTTCTAGAAACCTCAAATGGTTCGGAGGCCAAAGAACCTGCGAATGCCAGTGGGGTATGAGTACACAAGGTCAGGCTTTCCAACAATCAAGGTTTCTTAGTATACTAAAATGAAAGTCCAACATTCTACCTTAAAACGTTGTTTGGAGAACTCAGCGCATAGAACACATACTCAACATAATCCACCTCCAGTGAATTCTGTCACACAGAGAGAGTTCCCTTTTAGTTTAACACTCCAGTGAGTCTGCCGTTCCATCTTCAGTGTCCCCTCTTATGTGTCACCCACTGCTTAGATAATATCTGGAGGAAATGGCACTGATAGGAAAGTCAGACTGGGCTACAGAATGAAGCACAGCAAGTGGGAAGGAGGAAAGCTAAAGTAATGATTCCTTAGCAAGCATTTTAACTCAAGCAGCTCCCAGAAATGAAAAAACAAAAGTGTGGTGTGAAAATGAGCGCTTCTGTGTCCTACACTGCTCTGGGGGTCTGAAAGCCCAAAGCAAGGCAGACCAGGGGTCTCCACTCCTAGCCCCTGCCAGAGGCCAGGAGAAGTTCACCACAGATCCCATTCCTCCCAAAGCTCTGGGAGAAAGACCATGATCAGACACTGGGAGCCAGGTCAGTCAGCCTTGCATGATCCCTGGAGGAGGGCTGTGTGACAGCAGTAGTAAAGAGGGATTTTTTCCTCTGTTGTCTTTGTCTTCAACTGCAGTATCACTCACATGCCACACTGTTTTAAACTGAACACTTCAGTGGTTTCTACTACATTCAGAATGGTGTGAATGTCTTAACTCTAAGACGTTTTCATCAGCCCCACAAAGAGTCTTCCCATTGATCTTACCTCTTTATGTCTTCTCCCTCATTCCTGGTAACCACTAATCTACTCGTCTGGATCATGGATTCATCTATTCTGGATATGTCACAGAACAGACTCACACAGCTATGTCAGGTTTCTTTTACTTAGTGCAAAATGTCCAAGATTTCTCCATGTTACAATAAGGATCAGCACTTCATTGCTTTTGACTTCTCAGTAAATCTACTCTACAGCTATCCCTACCATCTACTTTTAAAAATATTTTTATTTAGGCTGGGCATTGGTGGTGCATTCATTTAATCCCAGCACTCAGGAGGCAGAGGCAGAAGGATCTCTGTGAGTTTGAGGCCAGCCTGGTCTACAGAGTAAGTTCCAGGATAGCCTCCAAAGCTACAGAGAAACCCTGTCTCGAAAAACCTATACATATCTATCTATCTATCTATCTATCTATCTATCTATCTATCTATCTATCTATCTATCTATTTATCTAAATATTTATATATTTGACCATTCCAGATATGTATTTGATGTGCTTTAATCCCTCCCACTCCCACTGAATTCCCTTTTTCTTCCTAAGAAGTCCCTGTCCTGCTGTCATGGGGTTTTAGTTTGTTCCTGACCTACAAAATTCAATTTGGTTTATTTGCATTCAGCACCTCACCAGTGGCTACACTACTGAAGAAAATGACTCCTCTGCCCTATGAACCACGAATTTTAACTGCCAAGTACTCCTCAGGGAGGGGAGGGGCCTCAGGAACCCCTTTACCATCTGTGCTAGAATATTGATGACCACACTCTTGATCATGTTTCGTGCAGATAGCCACTGTGGATGTGAGCTCAGGAGTGGAATGGTCATGCCATGCCTAGACAGTCTAACAGAATACAAAGTCTCTATCTTCTAGCTTTGACAATATTTCCACCTCCTCCTTCCATTTACTCTTGATTTAAAAAAAAAAAAAAACTGAGAAATAACCAGCCAAAAGTTTACCTCAAAACTACCATGAATGCCTACATGCACTGCATCAAACCATTTCTTACTACATGTTCCATTTGGAGCCCATGGTAAAGATAAAATAGGACCACTTTTCACCTCTGTCTTAGGCCAGTGTTTGTCAGCATCAGCACCACTGGCATTCTTGATGGGATGATCCTTTACTATCGAGGACTCTCCTACACAATGTAGGGTGTTTGGTAATATCTCTAGCTTCCACCTACTGGGTGGACATATTACCTGTTCTGGTTAGTTTTTTTTTGTCAGCTTGGCCACAAACTGGAGTCACTTGGGAAGAGGGAATCTTAGTAGGGAAATTGCCTCTATCACACTGGTCTGTGGGCATGTCTGTCAGACATTTTCTTGATTAGTTATCAATGTGGGGTGGTGTGACCACTGAGCAGGTGGTCCCAGGTTATAGAAGCAAGGTGAGCAAAGCTCAGGGAGAAAGCCAGGAAGCATCACTCCTCCATGGTCTCTGCTTTAGTTCCTGCATTGAATTCCTGCTTTGGATTCCCTCAATGGCAGACTGTAACCTGCAAGCCAAATAAACCCTTTCCTCCTCAAATTGTTTTTGTTCAATGTTTTGTTACAGCAACAAAAACAAACCAGGATAATTCTTCACAAAAGCTGTAATGACCAAATATGTCTGTAGATCTTAGAGAATGAAGGTTTAATCCTCTTTTTACTAAGAGGACAGCACCAAGCAATTATACGTAAGATGTTACAGAACTTTGTGTGTGGATATTCAGCACCTGTGTATGTGCACATGTTGGGGCAGCAGTGTGTGTGTGTGTGTGTGTGTGTGTGTGTGTGTGTGTGTGCTGGAGACATACGTATCCACCATGCACATGGAGTGGCCAGAGGCTGATATCTCCTGTCTTCCTCTATTTTTTTCTACTTTATTTTTCGAGACAACATCTCTCACAGACCTGGAGCTTATCACTTCAGCTAGCCCAGCCTGACTGGATGGTAAGCCTTTAGGATTCTCCTGCCCCTGCTTTAGCCCCCAGCTTTGGGATTACAGACACACAAAACTGTGCCCAGATTTTATGTGGGTATATGGACTTCAACTCATGATTGCTCAGCAGGCCCTTAGCCCAGAACCATCTCCCTAGTCCCTGCAAAACTTTTTCACACAAAAAATGCTATAACTGTACTAACAGGGCTATGAAGTTTTCTTGCTACCTAAATATAACAGATGTATCACCAAGTGAAACTGCAATCTCCCTGAATCTTCCCACTGAGACCACCCATCCTGCTCCAAGTTCTTGTCTCTCACCCTCAAAATCTGTGACTCCTAATAAATTAAGTGCATTTTCCTGTGGATTGCTGCCAGTTAGCAGATTACTGGTTAAGGAAGCCTAGGCTAAAAGACTTACCTAAGCCACAAAGGGTATCAATGTGCTAACGGGATTTAGAACCGTGCTTTCCATCCATAACACCTGAGCTCTGAACAAGAGTGGCTGTAAAGCGGATGTTGCTCAGCCCTGCTCACGTTTTGCAAACCAGTGTTGATTTTATACATGAAAGAGCCGCATATGATTTGAAAATGCCCCAACACACGTAAGGCTTAATTCCAAACTGTGTTGTGCATGATGAGTACTGCATTAGTCTGCCTCTGCTGTGTTTCCAGTACTGAGTGCAAGGCTTTAATCAAGAGTCGCTGTCTCTTTTCCCCTTCACAGTCCACACCTGAGACCATGTTCTCACTGGCCAAGGCTCTCTTTGTCTGAACACAAAAGTATCCATTGCAACACATGTTTTAAAACTTACTTGGAAAAGTTTAAATGCTTTACATCTCCTATATTCTGGGACTTTCAAAGCACAAAGCTTTTCCTTTGAAATGTACATAATAGGAAACTCATCAGTCAGCAAACAGTTGTTTTATTCTATGGTATCTGGACAGTGCTGATGAAAGAAATGAAATCTCAGTTCTTCATTAGACCTATGAGATAGCAGTGACCCAAGAGTCTATGCTACTTCTAGAATAGAACCCACTAAACAACAGAATCTGTACCAAATTTACAGACAGACAAAGACAGGAGAGAGAGAGAGAGAGAGAGAGAGAGAGAGAGAGAGAGAGAGAGAGAGAGAGAGAGAGAGAGAGAGAGACACAGGGGGGACACTGTATTTGTCTAATCTAAGGCTACCTTGATATTGCAACAACTAAGGTAACGAACAGCAAATGAGATAGTGTAGCCTATAAAACACCAAAATAAAATAAAATAAACAACCAAACTCCTGATAAAAACATGTGGACTCCTAAGCTAGTTCAACTGCTACTCTAGCACTGTAGCCCAGCTCAAGCCAAGTCCTAAGCAACACCATATCTTTCAAAACCATGGGATCAAAATGATCCCCCAGGATACTCCTTATGTTGGCATCTCAAATATCCAAAACTAGATATAACCAATGCCTGGAATGTGGGCTTAGATAAATAAACTGTGATCTTCTAAAACACTCCTAAATCTTTAAGATGGTTAAGATTGACTGTCAACTTAACAACATACAGAATCAGCCAGGAGACAAACCTTTAGGATGCCTGAGGGGATTTTGGACAGATGTAAGTGAGGGGGGAAGATCTACCTTAACTATGGAGAGCACCATCCTATGCATCCCAGTGTGATGAAAAGGAGAAAGCAAACTCTGCTTCCCGAGTGCAGATTAAAATGTGACCTGCCACCTCACACTCCTGCCACCATGATGGACTGTACCCTCAAACTGTGAGCAGAGATAAAACCTTCTTTATGGTGATTTTGTAAGGTATTTTATCACAACAACAAGAAAAATAGAAAACAGCATAGAAAATATTTGTAAATATACGGTGATAATAGAAAAAATAATTGTAAAATAATATGCATAGTACTTTTACATGTCAGTAAGTGCACATGAGTGGATAATAAAATACTAGAGGGTAAGATTTCTACAACTTTTAAATCCTTTCTACCCCAATTTTCTATTGTTTTATATAAATATTTCATAAAGTTACTTAATAGAACCTAAGGCTTATACTTTCATTTAATTTTAATAATCAGTATAATATTAAGGCCATTTATATTATTGACTTTTGTCACTACAAGATATAGCAATTATGGTGGTTTGAAAGAAAATGGCAATCAAAAGGAATGGCACTATTAGGAAATATGACTTTGGGAGTAGGTGTGGCCTTGTTGGAGGAAGTGTGTCACTGTGGAGGCAGGCTTTGAGGTCTCATAGATGCTCAAGGCATGCCCAGTGTCTCAGATCACTTCCTGTTGCCTGCAAGTCAAGATGTAGGGCACTCAGCTACTTTCCCAGAACCATGTCTGCCTGCATGCAAACATGTCACACCTTAATGATAATGGACTAAAGCACTAAAAATATAAGCCACCCCAATTAAATGTTCTTCCTTTATAAGAGTTCCCATGGTCATGGTGTCTCTTCATAGCAATAGAAACCCTAAGACAGCAATGAAATAATTTTTCTTTCAGGCTTCTCACAGTTCTTCCACTCACATTAACATTTTTTCCAAATCTTAAGGGACCACAGAACACATAAGGTACCATGTCCTGTCACCAGCCCAAGATGCCTGCACTGCCTACCCTACCTACTAACTACATCTTCTAGGAAGACAGAGTTGAGAGGAAAGAATTTGGAGCCTATCCTAAACCAACCTCAGTTTCTTTGCCTTCAGTGAACAAAATATTACAATCACAATGAAAAATAACAAACACAAAATGAAAACATTTCATTTACATGACTGTTCATGGTGGTTTGAGAATGTCCCCCATGATCTGGGGCATTTGAATACTTTGTCCCTAAGTGGTGGCACTGTATGGATAGTTTAGGAGGTGTGGCTTTGCTGGAGGAAGCATGTCCACTGGAGTTGGGCTTCCAAAGACTGGCACCACTCCAGTTTGCTCTCTCTACTTCCTGAGTGTGGTTTAAGATGTGAGGTCTGTGACACTGGTACAGCTGAGCTGCCTTTGTAACCCTCTGGAACTGTAAGCCTAAATAAACCCTTCAATAAGTTGTGTTTTATTACAGAAACAGAAAAGTAATTAAGGCCACACAGTGGTGGCACATGCCTTTAAATCCAGCACTTGGGAGGCAGGGGCAGGCAGATCTCTGAGTTCCAGGCCAGCCTGGTCTACAGAGCATGTGCCAGGACAAGCTCCAAAGCTACTTAGAGAAACCCTATCTCAAAAAACCAGAGGGAGTTCCAGGTCAGCCAGGGATACACAGAGAAACCCCATCTCAAAAAAAAAAAAAAAAAAAAAAAAAAAAAAAAAGAAAGAAAGAAAGAAAGAAAGAAGAAAGAAAAAAAAGAAAGAATAAAGAAAAGAAAAGAAAAGAAAAGTAACTAATATACTGTACAACTCTAGAATGACGTCTTTTCTGGCAGGAAAGTCATGATGTCATTTAGTCACGGCTCCTAGATCTAAACAACTTCCTTGTATAAAACCTGTTCTTTTCTATCACAGAGGAGGTCATGTGGGCATCTGTGGCTCTGCTGTTGAAGAGAACACTCAGTTACACCATGGCCACTGCCTCCACCCATAAATACTAAGAGTGAAGCACTCTATTTCCTTAATAAAGTATAAACCATAGCATGTCATTGGTAATTATGTTCATTATGTTAAAAGCTAAAGGTAATAATGGTAGGATCTCCTGGAGAAGTTTTTGGTAGGTTAACTATTTTTTATCCTATACAAGGCACACACATTTTATAGGCATAAATATGATCAGTTCATATTGATTTCATGTCTGACATATACTAGGGCCACATTCTTACATGACTGAAGACTATATTTAACTATATGTACTTTGTTAGTTCTTAAAAACTTTCTGTCATAATAGAAAACATAAAGAAAGTCTTAGTTGAGCCTATAGTTACCTCCTTTCTGGTTGAGCTTGAGGTTTTGCAGTTTTGGCATGATGCACTTTCTCTGTGGTGACTGTTGCCCCTGCACCCGACTGGCACCTCCATGGCTGACAGGCCCTTGAGCTGCCATGCACCACTGTGACAAAATTAAAGTGTTAGCATGAAATCTAGTTGGAAAGTAATTTCTTTTCAAGAGGTCCTCAGGGCATAATTCTTGGCTTTAAATTTTAAAATGGTGCAATGGCAGGGGTGATTTTCCCAGCATCTCTGCAGGCAGGTAACAACACTTCTTTCTTTAGTGGGCTGGGGTGCAGGTTCCCTTCTCCAGCCACACACACCTTCTCACCCTGTCCTGGCTGAAAATTTTGCTCCTGTCCCATCCCTAGGACCTCTGCACATGCAGAATATTCCCAATGGTGAGGCAGTGCTGAGAGGGCACCATGGAGACCACGGAGAGGTTAGGAACTACTAATGTCGGGTCATTTAGAGTGGAGACCGAGACAGTTCCAACTGCCTGTGTATCCAACTTCTGTCTTCAAGCCTTCTGGGCAAAGCCTTCTGGGAACTCCAGCATTGCCCTGTGCTCTGACAATGAGAAGGGGGCACATTCTCTTCTGTAGGAATACATCCACAAAGTGTAGAGCCCATCAGAGTCCAGTACTCCATTTCAAACACCAGGATCCCAGGGCCCAGAACTCAAGAATGCCCTCCCCCTAAGCCCCACAGCTAATTCCAAAGTCTGTGCAGACTCCTTCCCTGAATCTGTCCTCTGGAGGGCAGATATTGCCATCCATATAAGCAGTTCGTGACCTTCAGGATGGCCAAGGGGTAGTAGGAAAGAGCTGGCAATAGGAAGAGCAGCAAGAAAGCTTGCAGGGCAACATTCTCAAGGACTCTTCTCTACAGTGGTTTAGGAGAGTTCAAGACTTCGTCCTTCCAGGTGATTAGGAGGGTCTATTGGTGAAGGATGAGGGACAGGACTTGCTATTCTATGTGTGATACACATGTCCCTATCAATACTCTTGACCTGGGCTCCATAAGAGTAGGTGATGGGCTAGGAAAAGAACTGAACCAAGGAGTACATGTGCCATGCTGAGTTGTAACATGGAATATTGGTTCTTAAACAACAGTAAAATTAAATTGAAACCTCAAGTCAGTACTGAGGAAGACAGTAAGGGAGCTATTGTGTGGCTTTCTTCTCCACTTTCCTAACACCAGGTTAGAAATTAGTCTGGGACCAGCCATCTTCTGCCTTGTTCTCCTCCAAGTGCCCTTGATGAGGACAAAGTTCAGTTTGGATCAAGTAGGTCTGACTCTAAGTTCAGCGTCCACTTCCTAGCAGTGTGACCTGGGTCAGACTACAATCTCATAGAACCTCAACTCCCCCTCTGTAACATAATGAGTCCTTGCTGGTGCAACTCTGAGGATTTAAAAATCAGGAGAAGCACTCTGGTGCATCTGCCATGTGACAGGGGCTAGTATAATATTAGTATAACAGTTTCATTTGGAAGTTCCTAGAGAAATCAACCACATCTGCTCTAATTTTTTTAAATCACACAAATAGGAACAAAATAAAGAAATTGTGCACACACAGCCAGGGTGATTGCGTACATTCACATGCTGGAGCACATCTGCAACCACAGCACTAAGCAAGCTGAGGCAGGAGGATCTTTAGTTTGAGACCAGCTGGGGTTTAAGCCAGACCCTTTGTCAAAACTAATAAATAAAAGCAGATGGCACACATTTCAGACAGAATCCACTACATGAGCTTATGCTGGGGAAATCTCACTAAACCAAGGCAAAGTGGAAAGATTGACATAAAGAAGTTCAATTCCACTCAAATGAAGTCTCAAACAACACACACACCCTTGTTTCAGACAAGTTTAATTACGAACTACACAGTGAGATTTAACCAGGTATTCAGTCATGTGCAATGTCTATGAGATTCCATCAGATCTTATGAGCTATGATGATAGAATTCTAACTGATGGTCATAAGTAAGAGATCTTTCTGTGAACCTAACAAAAGGAAAGGTGGGGGGTAGGACTAGATTCCCCAGCTAGCTACATTATGGTTTCCTTGTACAATTTCCAAGCTTCCTACCTGTTGCCATGCCCTGGCTTACAAAATTCTTGCCACTGCCTGAGAAAATTGTGGTACTGATAAAGGTTCCCTGCTACTGTGACCTAGGATTAACATACTCATCAAGAACACCTCTAAAACATCCCGCTCTGGCCACTGGGCTATTAGAGATATGGAAGGGCACAAGGAGCAGGTGGTCAGAGAAGATAACAGAGGAGGTCAGTATGCTCAAAGTTGTTAGATGCTTGTATGAAAATGTCACAGAGAAACCACACAAATTGTACAAATTACACATACTAGCTAGAATTAAATAGGATTCCACACTATCTTAGGAGCAGGGACTGTGGAAATAAGAGGACTTGCTTCCCAGATTTGGCCAGTTATTCTGATTTTTGTTGTTTCAATGGATTGTAACAATGAATAGGAAAAGGACTGACACTGTTAGTCCATGTTAGGAGAACTTGCAAAACCAATGTAATTTCTGAACCATTAGAAATTAAAATATTTGGAGGCTGAAGAACTCAGGGGTTCAGAGCACTGGCTGCTCTTGCAGAGGACCTGAGTTCAATTCCTAGCACCCACATCTGGTAGCTTACAAACATCTGTACCCCAGCTCCAGATCTCACCTGGGGTACCTGCACGCACATGCACATATGACTCACACACAGACTCACACACATACACACAATTTAAAACAAATCTTTTTTTAAGATAGAAATTTTACTTTGAGCATATCATGAAAAAAATTTCCATGCACTAAACTGGTGACAGGCAATGGCTGAAAGACACTTAAGAAAGTGCTCAAAATCCTTGGCCATCAAACTGGTGAAAGACTGCTGTTACATATATTGCATAAAAGAAGCAGAAGACATTATGGATGTGTGTATATATCTTAATCATTAAAAAAAAACAATGATGGAGAGTGAGAGAGATGGCTCAGTGGCTGACACACTTGCTGCTCTTACAGAGGACCCAAGTTTGTTTCCCAGCACTCATTGGGTAGCTCACAACTACCTGTATGTCAGCTCCAAGGGGATCAGATCCCTCTGGGGAATCTACAGTCTCTCTCTCTCTCTCTCTCTCTCTCTCTCTCTCTCTCCTTCTCCCTTTCCC